ACCAGATCTCCTCGTGCAGACTGCCCTGGAGAAAGGCGGTGGAGAAGTCGAGGGAGTGCACCTCGTAGTCTCGCTGTGCTGCAACATGAAGTAACACCCGAAGAGTTGTCATCTTCGGGGTCAGAAAGAAGGTCTAGAAGAAGTCAACACCCTCATGCTGACTGAAACCTCTAGCCACGTAGCGCGCCTTGAAGACAAGCGGCGATCCAGGCGGCCGCTTCACCTTGAAAATCCACATGCCGTCGACTACGTTCGCCCCAGGTGGGGGAACTGCATCGACGCAAGTGCCTGTGGATCTCCAAGACGTCATCTCTCACTCCATGGCGGCTATCCACTGAGAAGCCCACTGCCCTGACACTGCCTCACAGTACGTGCGAGGAGTCGGTATGTCAAGTGCGTCGGGGTCTCCCTCAGGAGCTAGCAGCATGGCACAGAGATGGGGAGAAGCGGCCGCCAAGAACTCCAGCTCAAACTGCCTGTCCTCTACGACGTCACAGCCAAGGGCAGACTCACCCCCGGTGGACATAGGACGGGCAGCTACCACACGGGTGGCGTAGTCAAGGCGGCGGGTGGTGGCAAAGTCTGTGACAGTGGCAGAAAGAGCCGAGACAGATGACGGAGAGGCACGAGGGTTCGTGACTAGAGAGGTGAGAACACGAGTGACAACAGGACGGGTGGCACGGTAGTAGTCACTGATAGGGGTAGAGGTGGAGGCTGTAAGAGACGACTCAGGAGGTGACAGGAGAACAGACTGAGGTGGAGAACGACGAGGACTCGAACGAAGTAAGACAGTGCGAAGGTCGTCAAAAGGAGACAAGGGACGTGCACGAGCGAAAAAACGCACTGTCCAGTCGTGCGGGACAACAGGAGGAGACGACTGTGACCGAGGAGGAGAGAAGACAGCCGGAGAAGAGTCCGGAGGGGGGAATGTAGGACCGTAAGCAAGGGGAGACAGTGAGCGGTCTAGAGGAGAGGAAGGAACTCCAAGGGCCCGAAGGCCACTCATAGGCGGAAACAACGGCTGCAAAGGTGGCGGCTGCTGCTACTGCTCCTGCTGCTGCAGCTCCTGCTACTGCCGCTCCAGCCCCAGCCTCTCCTGCTCCAACCACTCACTCTCCTCGTGCTCCAGCTGACGAACCTAGCCGCATTTGCGTACAGTTCGGCCTTGGCCTCGCTCCGGAGTGGGCCCCGCTTGCTCGCTCTCGTGGACTTGCTTTGTGGGACTTGTCTGCGGCATAGTTAGTTGATGCTTTAGACTCTGTTTCTGTGATGTATGCTGATGTTGGTTATAGTGCTGCTAGATCTGTTTGCCCGCATGTTCGTAGTTTAGGTTATTTGCCTGTTGCTATTGTAGATCATTGTCTCTCTAATCCAGGTGCTTGTGTTTCCGCACTAGGTGCTTGTGTAGCTACTAGCCCAGGTGCACCTACGGCTGAGGCGTCGCTGTCCTTCGCGCTGGACTCTGGCGCGTCGCAGTGCTTCTTCCGCGACCACACGACTCTCACACCGCTTCTTGCTCCGGTTCCGGTTGCACTGGCCGATCCTACTTCAGGACCAGCGGTTGCACGTAGCTCTACCACCCTCCTGTGCCCGGTTGTCCCCTCTGGTGTCCTTAGAGGTCTCCACATCCCCTCATTCACTCGGAACTTGGTAGGTGTTGGATACCTCTAGGATAGGGGGATCACAGTTACCTTTTTGGGAGGCGGGAGGACTGCAGTCTGCACGGACGCTGCCACCGGTGTCGTTCTTGCCACGTTTACCAGAGATTCCCGCTCCAGTCTCTACGTTCTGCACACTGAGCGCTCCCAGGTAGCTGCGTCCCCTCAGGTTGCTGCGTCCCCTCAAGTTGCAGTGTCCGGTCTGGTTGCTGCGTCTTGCTCTTGTCGGTCACTCTCTCACTCAACAGTCTTGTGGCACCACCGTCTTGGTCACCTGTCCCTCCCACGCCTCCGCAGCATGGCTAGCCAGCGTCTTGTCTCAGGTCTCCCGCGCGTCTTTGCGTCGCTCCCTCCTTCGCCTGCGCCGTTGTGCACTCCTTGCGTCAAGGGTCGGCTGCGCGCCACTCCTCACTCCTCCTCCCTTCGTCCGGCCACTGCACCTTTCCAGACTCTCCACTTGGACGTCTGGGGCCCCGCCCCTCGCCCTGGGCCCGAGAGGGAGAGAGCTTCTTTCTAGTGGTCGTTGACGACTACTCCCGCTACACCACCGTGTTCCCTCTGGCGAAGAAGAAGTCTGATGTGACTTCTACGCTGATCCGGTGGTTGCTGACCACTGAGACCACACATGGCCGTCGTGTTAGTTGTCTTCACTCCGACCGTGGGGGTGAGTTTCGCTCCGGCATTCTTTGCGGATTCTGTAGCGAGCAGGGCATCACCCAGTCCTGGACGCTTCCGGATTCGCCACAACAGAATGGGTTTGCTGAGCGCCGCATAGGCTTGGTCATGGAGATTGCCCATACCTCCATGATCCATGCCCGTGCGCCCCATTTTCTGTGGCCCTATGCAGTTCGCTACGCCGCCCACCAGCTGAACCTCTGGCCTCGTGTCTCTCGGCCAGGGGCTTCACCGACCAGTCTTTGGACCAGGTCCCCTGGTGTTGTGTCGGATTTTTGTGTCTGGGGCTGTCTTGCGCTTGTCCGCGACACCTCTGCAGACAAGCTCTCGGCCTGCGCCATCCCCTGTGTCTTCCTTGGTTTCCCGGTGGACTCTTCTGACTACACCTTTTACCACCCGCCCCTCCACCGGTTCCTTGACTCTCGTGACGTCCGGTTTAGCGAGTCCGTGTCCTACTACACCCGGTACCCCTGTCAAGGTCTCCCGGTTCCTCCCCCTCCCCTTTTTCTCGCCCCCTCTCCTCCTCCTGCTCCCGCTCCTCCGGTACCCCCGCCCCCCCCCCTGGTCCTGCACCGTCAGGTGTGTCTCACGCTACCCCTCTACCCTCGGCCGCGCGTCAGGTAACGTCTCTGCAGTCCTCCTCACAGTCCCCTCAGCAGCCTTCGGCACTTCCGCGACAGGTTACTGTGGACTATGGGGGTGTTGGCGCTGGAGGTGCTAGCTCTGGGGGTGCTGGTGTTGGGGGCACGGACGCTGGGGGTGCTACTTTTGAGGGTGCTGGAGCTGAGGGTGTTGGCGCTTGAGGTACGAGTTCTGAGGGTGCTGGAGCTGAGGCTACTGGCGCTGGAGGTGCTCGTTCTGGGGTTTCTCGCGCTGGGGGTGCCGGCACTGGCGGTGCTATTTCTGGGGGTGCTCGTCCTAAGGACACTAGTTCTGGGGGTGCTGGAGCTGGAGGTAGTAGTTCTGAGGAGACTGGAGCTGGAGGCACTGCTACTGTGGTACCTACCCCACCTCCCCACCGCTACCCGATGAGTTTCCAGAGGACTGACCCGGAGCATGGAAATGGCCACAGCGAAAACCCGCACGACAGGCTGACTGAACCACGTACGGGCAGGGAGGCGGAGTGACACCACGCAACACTGAGCTATGCGGACCACCGCCACGACCAGCACTCCCTGGTCCACCAGGTCCCCACTGCTGAGGCTGCTGCTACACCTGCCGCTGAACCTGCTGTTGCGGCTGTCCCTGCTGTTGCGGCTTTCCTGACTGTGGCTGCTGCTGCTGGGACTGCTGCCGCCGCTGTGCCGTGTACCACGTGACTGCACCAGCACCCCCTCTCGTCGGGCCTGCAGGCGCAGGGCCGCTCCCAGTGTTGCCTCCACCAGATGCACTAGTGTCACCAGAGCCTCCGCCACCCCCGCCACCACCACCAGCGCCACCACCCTTCCCCCCTAAGGAGAAGGAGACGCAGTAGAGGCAAGAGAAGCAGTGAAGGTCGGAAGCTGTGGGACAGTGCACCCCTGAAAGAGCGGGGGAATTACAGTGCCAGATGTGGAGGCAACGGAGCGGATATTGCTCTTGATGTCCTTGAGAGCGGTCTCAAGGACATCGATGGTGAGCTCACTAGGGTGCTTCCGAAGAAGCTCGTCATGGACAGGTGCAAGGCAGTCAGGGAGGCTAGTGGCGATAAAGTGAATAGAGATCGCCATGGTGGGGGGAGCAGTGCAAGCTGAGCCTCAGTACAAGCAGCACGGTAGCTGGCGTCTAGCGAGCGCAGGTGGGTGATAAGATCAGCAACGCGGTCAAACGAGCCTAAGTCAGAAAAGAGAAACGGCAGAAAGAGGCGGCCAAGAGAGGCGGAGGTGGGAGTGGAATAACGTGTCTTAATGGCAGCAAGCAGGTCCTTGGCAAATCGAACCTGAGACAAGTGAGCCTCCTCAGTCTCGGGGAGAAGGCTGGAGAGGGCAATGCATGCCGCAGCGTCACGCGACCGCCACATTGAACGAGCGGTACGCGCTTTATCGAAGCACGCCTGGGCCGCCTCGTTAGGCTCAGCACCCAGGTCAGGAGGGGACGGAGGCACAGGCAGGTCACCGGAAGCGTGCGCCCAGAGCGTATCATTGTCCTGGCGCTGGCTCTCGAGAAACCGCTCGGCACGGATGAGCCAGGGGAACTCTATGGCTCTACCCTCAGCATCAAAGTGCAGTACACGAGGGGCCGCCATAACGAGGGAACTACCAGCCTAGAAGCGCAGAGCTAGAAGGGGCCGGAGCTAGAAACAAGTGAGGCATACGGTGCCCAAAGAGACGAGGTGAGGAACATCCTGAGCTAGGAGCGACCTAAGCCAGAGTGGCGAGGCTAGGACGAGCCGAAACGAGTAACGAGCGAAACGAGTAACGAGCGAGGCCTAAGTGCTAAGTGAGAACCGAGCGAGGCGAGGGACAAATGAAGGCAGAGGGTCGAGCCTAGGTCACGCTGGTAGAGGGTACTGCGGCCGCCAGCCGCTGTGAGTGGAAAGCCAGTCGTAGTAGGCGGTAGGAAGGTGCTGCACGTGCGGAAAGGTGTGGGTAGATGCGTTCGAGTGTGGTGGGGAGCGGTCAGGTATGGTGGAGTGCGGTCGAGAGCGGTTAGGAGCGGTGAGGAGCGGTTAGAGGCGGGTAGGAGTGGTTAGGAGCGGTGAGGAGTGGTGAGGAGCGGGTAGAGGCGGATAGGAGTAGTGAGGAGCTGGTAGGGGCGGATAGGAGTGGTGAGGAGCTGGTAGGGGCGGATAGGAGTGGTGAGGAGCTGGTAGGGGCGGATAGGAGTGGTAAGGAGCGGATTCTGTAGCACGGGCTGCAGCTGCTGCGCTCGCTGCAGATGCGGAGGTAGGTGCTGCGCTTGCTGCTGCCGCTGCACGCGCGTGGCTGCGGCTGCTGCAGGGCGTGCGTGCGAGTGGCTGCAGAGGAGTGTGCAGCTGCTGCTGAAGCCGTGCGTGCAGTGGCTGCTGCGTGCGCGGGAGGCTGCTGCTCGCACGCGTGCAGTGGCGTGCGTGCTCTTGGCTGCTGCAACGCGTGTGGCTGCTGTTGCGCGTGTTAACGCTGCTGTGCACGCGTGGCGAGCGTGCATGCGGACCGCAGCTGCAGCGCGCGGCTGCTATTCGTACTACTGGCGCACGTGCACCTGCGTGCACGTGTGCTGCTGCGGATGCATGGCTACACGCGCGTGCGATCGTGCGAGCTAGTGGGGCGCGCGGGCTGCGCGCGAGGGGCAAGGGGCAGGGTGGGGCGCGGACGGGTAAGGAGCGTGACGAGTACGGGGCAGGCTAGGGGCGAGGCCTGCAAACGGACAGGGCGCGGCCTGCTAAGGGGACGGGGCACGACGTGCTAAGGGGCGGGGCGATTCGGGGCTAGGCTAGGAACTCACCTACTCGTGATACCATCTTAAGAACCTAGTTGCTTGAGTAGCGAGAGAATGGTGATAGTAGGTCAAAGGAGGGAATACAACCAAAGTGTCGAGAAAGTTTTGTACCCCCTAACATGCAACTCACTAGAGCATATCTATATCTACAAACATAGTTTGACACAGTGCCACACTGTCCCCAACCACGAAGGGTCTCGAAACTACACTTCACAAGGGCCTACACCAAGTGAAATGTTACACTACACAAAGTGATGTAACTATTCTCAATATCTTGAGGTGTACCCTTTTTGCGGGCTTCGCGATCACTTGAATCTTGAAACCAAGGCTTTGGTTCTTCATCATAAACTCATCCTTGAGTTCTTGATGGGTCTTCTGCACACACCTGCGACACGCCAAACGTTCCCACACACGAAAAAAAAAAAAAAAAAAAAAAAAAAAAAAAAAAGAAAAAAAAAAAAAAAAAAAAAAAAAAAAAAAAAAAAAAAAAAAAAAAAAAAAAACCGCGCATAACACACAAACGACGATGTAGACACGCGACTAGCGATGACTTGCTATTGACTCGACACAGATACATTCGACATCACGACTCATCATTCACACACTATTATAAGCATGAAATATATCTTATCTCATGCCCTCATACCATTCCATGCAAACACGCATGCACGCACACGGACAACAAGCCGAGTGCAAACCGTAGGGTTGCACCAACAAACTCCCCTTCGGATTGTTGGCCTTAGGATCCGTTGCTCTCAGTTCAGAGCCATTCCAGCCAGCTTGCAACACTTCCAATGTTGCTGCTCCACCAGCCTCTTGGTCATCATGTCCGCCGGCTGCCCAGTCATCTTCACGTAGTGCAACTCAACTTCACCCGCGGCCACCATGCTCCTCGTCCAATGCCACTTCACCCTCATGTGCTTCGTGAGGCCATGCAATACAGGGTGCTTAGCAAGAGCAATGGCACCCTGACTGTCACAGTAGAGTGGGGTAGGTCCTTGCTGCTCCCCCCCCAATTCAGCTAACAAACGCCGCTGCCACACAATCTCCCGTACGGCACGGAATAGTGCCATGTATTCGGACTCCACCGAGCTCAATGCTTGGTCTACCTGCTTCTTGCTCTCCCAAGTAGTTGGGCCTCCACCAACATAGCAAATGAACCCTCCAACACTTGTCATGTCCTCTGGTTCCGATGCATATGAAGCATCCGAGTAGGCGGTGAGGAACAAACGCCCGGGTTCTACACCATCCGTGCCCTTTTGACGCCTTTGCGCCGCCGCCGAGTATTGCAGCCCAACGATCGGTGTTTGGCCAAGATACTTGGCCACCCTCATTCCAGCTGGTACCTGCTCCTCATTAGGGCATTGCACAACCCTAGCCAGCTTCCCGGTAGCAAAGGCAACGTCCGGCCGAGTGTTTACTGCCGCATATATGAGGCTGCCCACCAACGAGTGAAAACGACGCCTCTCCTCTTCACCAACGCTCTCGTCCTCTGGTCCCTTCACACACTTGAACCCAGAGGGAAAGGGAGTAGCCGCATGACCTTCACTATGCCCAAAGTTGGCAGCCAACTCCTCCAGGTACTTGCGTTGTGCACCCGCATGCACCGCTTCTCCATGTAACGTTCGATATGAAGCCCGAGGTAGAAGTTGACGTCACCAAGGGCCTTACACTTGAACTTGTCCTGAAGTTTCAGCATCACCTCCTTCACAAGGTCAGAGGAGGGTGAGAAGATGAGGATGTCGTCCACATAGACCACCATGAAGCTCCTCTGCTCCCCCTTGCCAAGCATGAACAAGGAGTGATCGGCTGTTGAGGGAGTGAAGCCGATCTCCTCCAAAACTTCTCGCAGCTTCAAGTACCACTGCCTATGGGGCCTTCTTCAGCTTCAAAACTCTGCCACTACAATCATCAAACCCCTCTGGCTGCGCCAAGAAAATCTCTTCTTCGAGAATGCCGTTGAGGAACGCGGTTGTCACGTCCATCTGCTTCACCACCCATCCTTTGATGGCAGCTCCTGTGAGTAGGGTCCGCATCGTTGTCGGCTTCACCACAGGGGCAAACAACTCTTTTAATTCCACCTTCTCCTTCTGCTGGTACCCCTTGGCTACAAGCCTAGACTTGTAGCGCTCGATCTTGCCGTCGGCGTCGGACTTGATCTTGAAGAGCCACTTGGACATAATCGCCTTACGCCCCTTCGGTAGCTCCACCAATTCCCATGTGTCGTTCTCCTCAATGCTCTTCAGCTCACTCTCCATGGCCTTCTTCCACTCCTCAGCAGCACTACTCTCCAAGGCCTCCTTGAGAGTTACTGGTCCTCCCGGCATCTCCATTGGAGAGAAGAACACAAACGCACATTCCTCGTACTCACTTTCCTCATCATCTCTGACCATGATTGTCGCTCCGGCCAGGGCTGACTTGCCCGGGTTTCCCGGTGCATCATAGGTCAGCCTATTTGGGGCTTGAACTCTCCTCTTGCCCCTTCCTTCCTCCTCAGCTGCAGGGACTTGAAGGCCTTGGTGTTGCTGCAGGATGACTCGGATCCGTGGAGCACTTATAGCGCGTGAAGGAAGTGTCGGTGCACGGTTGCTCACTTGCTGCACCTCCTCCTCTTCTTCCTCTGCATCCTTGGCCTCCTCTACCCCGTTCACAAGGGAAGATTGCCTTGTGGTTGTGGTGCCACTGCTCAGCTCCAAAGGCAGCTCCACATGCTCCAAGCCGGAACTCTTCACCTCCCCAAACCGCACGCCTATCTTCGCCTCATTCTCCGCCTTCCAATCCTTATACATCAGGTTCTCCATGAACTTGCAGTCCCTGTTCACCAAGAACTTCTTGGTGAATGGGTCCCAAAGAAGCCATCCCTTGCTGTTTTGAGCCATGCCCAAATGCACAGCCCATATTGCCTTGGCACCAAGCTTGTTGTGCCGAAGATGCTTAGGCACGCGCGCCATGCACATGCACCCGAACACCCGAAGCATATCCACCTTTGGCTTCCTTCCAATCCACTACACATTGGGCACCCATTTGTCTGCTCCCACAGAGTCAAAGCTCTCGTCTTGGCCACACATGCACTCTGCACTACATCAGGCCAGAAATAGTCGGGTAGCCTGGCTTCAATGAGCAACCCACGTGCCATCTCTGTGATGGTCCGGTTCGCTCGCTCGGCGATACCGTTCATTGCAGGGGAGTATGGCATAGTAAGAGAGAAGCGTATGCCATTCTTATTCAGACACAATGAGAACTTCTTGCTCAGGAACTCTCCCCCTTGATCGGTGCGGATTGACTTGACTAGCCGGTCTTGTTGCCGCTCCACCATCGGCAACCAATCGGTCTTTACCCTTTCAGCCACGTCGCTCTTCTTGGACATCACGTAGACCCAGGTCATGTGGGTGTAGACGTCCACAATGGTGAGGAAATACTCAGCTCCAGCATCTCCAAGCTTCAAGGGGCCCACCACGTCCATCACCACCTCATCAAGTGGTGCCTTGGCCGTTGCTTCCGAACTCGAGAACGGGAAACGGGTGAACTTGGCTTGCATGCACGTCGGGCGGCCAAGTACCTCATCGGGCTCTCCCGTCATACGTATGCCAGCAACCATGTCTCCCTTTACTAGCTGCTGCAAGATGGGCAAGGCCACATGCCCCATGCGCCGATGGAAGGTGAGCCGATCACACTCCTCCGTAGCTGAAGTCGGATTGGAGAATGCCGCACTCGCAATAGTGCCCCACATGCTCTCTCCGTAGTCCTCCTCCGCTGCTGCCTTGGGGTTCTTCTCACCCTTGTGCTGGTCCCTCCAAGATTGCACTTCTTGGACTCTTTCGCCTTAGCGCCATCGTTCTCGCCATAGCCGCTACCAACCGCTTCACCCTTGGAGCTAACGCTTGCTACCACTTGCCTCTCCTTAGGCATAGGGACCACTGGGATCTGCCACATCTCATTGTAGACATTCCTATCATCATGGAGGTCCCAAAGAATCCGCTCGCCAAGCCTCGCGGTGTAGGTCTTGGCTCCCTTCGAGCTCGTGTCCATGCCGGCCTTTTGCAACCGCCGCACGGAAATCAGGTTCGCAGCAAGGTTGGGCACCCAAAGCACGTTCTTGAGGCCCACCATCTTCCCATCAGCACCCTTGAACATGGTCTTGCCCATGCCTTTCACCTCTGCTCGCTGCCCCAAGGCCGATGTGACATGCTTCACTGGTGACGGTTCGAGTTCGGTGAGCAAGTCCGCACGAGGTGTCATGCTATAGGTAGCACCGCTATCGATCACCCAGTAGTCCAGGGAGTGTAGGGTGACCTTTCCCACAGCTGCTGGCTCCTCAAAGTCTTCATCCTTCTCTGGTCCAGCTGGTGCTTGCGTCGACACGAAGAAGAATTGACCCGGAAAGCGATTGTCCCTCGACTCGCTCTCGTTTTCATCATTCTTCATAATTGCGGCACCACCTCCGCGACTGCCACGGCCTCCATAGCCTCTTCCTCTCCCTCCTCCTGCTCCTCTACCCTCTTGGCCTTGAACAGGGGTCCATCCTTCAGGGAGCTTGTAGCAATCACGCCACATATCTCCGCTCTTGTGGCAATAGTGGCACTCGCTGTCGAATCGGCCGCGATCGCGTCCATAGCTCTTGCCGCCGCTGTCGTAAATGCCACTCCCGCGGCCTCCATTGAAGTTGTTGCTGCCAAATCTGCCTCCCCCTCATCCTATGCCCCTTCCACGGCCGTACCCCCGGCCGATGCTTGCTGCCCCGGCGCCATCTGCACTCGCCAACTCACGGCGGCGGAAATCCTCTTGAAGGATCGCTCGCTTCACGTCTTCAAGCGAGAGGCGGGGCAGGTCACGATTCAAGTTGATGATGAGCAAGGACCATGACTCAGGGAGTAAGGACAAAAATTTGGTCTTCTTCTGGAGCTCACTGTAGTTTAGATCAGCTCCCTCAAGCTGCGTCAACAAGTCGAAGAACTTTTGCACCCCGTCTTCCACGGGTTCATCTTCTTCAATTCATGGTGTCGCCATTTGCCGTTCCAACAC